ATACAGATATATAGAATATATTTTAGTCTCTTTCACCTTCATACTTTAGGACTACTAGAAAAGAAAAGAACTTAAGATATGCACCAAACCCATAAAAGGAGTAGCATGGCCTAATACTACGGCAAAGAAGTTACTTGACATTCAGTTGACATGCACTCAATTGAAGAATATAAAAGAACACAATCACAGAAGGAAATAAACGTAGCCTTGGGAATGGCAAATTTGGCGAATTCCTGACTTGGAACCTGGAATCATGTACTAAGACTCGTTGAGGTAAACCCGGTGACATCAGCTCTCAGCATTTGGAGGGCTGTCGCCTACGTGAGGCCAAGTCTCCATGTTCCGGAACTGCGTGTCACGGTCAGTCCTTGAAGTCGGGAAACATTCAGTCAAGGCCTGTTTCACTACATTTCAAAGGCATTGCTATTTCATTTGATGACGAAGCACAAGTTGCACTCAGGATATACAAAGGAAAGAATCGGAAGAGGTGGCACTGTGAACGACTATCTGGAATGTTCTCAACGGGGAACACTATTGGCATTCATCAACCTAATTGGAGCGGGCACGTTGAACAGGAGCCGTTACGTCGTTGGGCTGCAGTGACTTGAACGTTTCTGTGTTGTCAAACTGTACATGGTGGTTTTATGACATGTAAACATTGAACTGTCCAACGAGCCTCTCCTCCAAATACAGCAGCTTTCTCCACACAGATTGGACCCAGATCCGATTGGCACAGAAGCATCGATTGTTATTGTAAAATGAATGAATGCCTCTCTGACAGTGGAAATGACCTTTGTAAGGCAGAGTATTCCATACGTTTGTATTTGATTTCGTCATACTGTGAAATGGGGTGTAAATGCTGTCATAAGGCCAGCGAAACCGCCAATTTCTTGATCGAGATGTGATCCTCATGAAATTGTTGTCAAGATTAAGCAGTAAACTGGCTGGTTGATCTGCGACAAAATCGGCATGTTAAATAGTCATCCGCTAGCAACTACAAAGTCACAATATTGATCCATGTTAACCCTTTTCAGGGACAGCGGTTACTACAGTGGACAGCTTATCAGGTTACAGGTTATTATTTGTGCATGAAAGGGTTAAACTGAGCCTTTTCAGACATTATCAACTCCTATTTGGGCTCATATAGATTTGACCATGGTGCCGATCGTTTATTTGTGTCAATGTGATGGGGCTCACCAACGTTCTTAAGGTATCAATTTTCCTACTTCTGACCTCAACCCAGAGCAGACCAAAGTTGATTAGAGAGCCAACCTCTGCAAGGTGTTCAGTTAATTTTTCCTCCACTTAAACCGTAATATACCATATTTCATTCAATCGTGGCCATTGCTTTGTCAGCTGCACTAAGTACCAGCCAGTCATTTCTTTGTGACTTCCCGTTACAATGGCAGTGAAATGTGTCACAAAAGTTGGTGTCAGCGTGTCCTTTTCTCTCAGTTTCTTTCAATAATGCAGTGCAGTTGGAGGTGAAGTAATTGTTCCCACTTTTCTTTTTGAACGTTCCTACCTGAAGAAACCCACAAGGTGAGATAGTTTTACAAGCCCTGCAGTGAGTGAGACATGAACTGGACCGGCATCTTGATTCAAGTTTTAGTTCGCAGCACTCTCATGGTTATTTTGGTTGTATGTTTATATGTGTTATTGAAGTGATTTGTTTACTTTCAAAGCAGTTTTCACATCTTGCTTTGTCTAAAGAATAGAGCCGGTTTTTATTTTGAATATGTATTTATCAAACAGGATCTGTGAATGAATATTTAAGGATGTTCATGTTTCTTGTTAAGTCAGCTACAATTTATGAAATTACAAACTGCATGCCAAGTAACGACAGTTTTTCAAATATTACATAGTCGGTGTTTGAATCTAATTTAACTGGCATGAATGTAACATTACTTTGCTTCCAGTGAGATAAAATGTGAACAAACATTTTTAAAAATATCAAACCTTTCCGTTGCAGGTCATGATTATTAAGGCTTTTACAGTCTATGTCAGGAGTTTCTGAAACCAGCGCGTGAGAAGCCACTGCCAGTTTCACTGAGAAAAGATTTGCACCAGAGCACTAAAATATTGAAATAATACACATAATTCATATTAGAACAGTATTATTCACACATACAAGCTCTACCCACCTTACACAGCGAATACAAGCAATTGATCATCATTGTAGACTAGTATGACACAAACAGCGCAATAAAACAAGCCAAAAAAAAAAACAAAACAGGTTTTATAGACTCTCTCTCGTCTCTTCTGTTTAGGTAGCAACACAGACTCTTAATCCAACAGTGACGACACAGCTCACTTATTTATTTATTTAACCCTGATGTTAAAGCTAAGCGATTAACCCAGCCGCTGGGGGGCAGTGCCCTCCCCTGGGGGTGCACTGTTCCCCAGTGCCGGTCCCAAGCCCGGAGAAATGGGGAGGGTTGCGTCAGGAATGGCATCCGGCGTAAAACTTTTGCCAAGACGACCATGCGAGTTGGTAGGACGGTTTACAGGGGCGGATGGAAATTACTGACTCGCTGTGGCGACCCCTGAATGGGGATGTGCCGGAAGGAGAAGAAGAGTTAAAGCTAAGCGATTCAATTGTAAATCCCCAAAATAACGCGCCACCTCCACCAAACAAAAAGTGAAGCTCCGAAGGAAACTTTCAAAGTCTACTTGATAATATTGACCATCCGCAGGACACTGTTGTTTGTGGTTCCTGTTCCAGCTGCAAGTGAAATGATTAAACCTCCACTGCAAATGACATTTCTTTTCAAAATGTACATAGATGCAAAGCTTGTTGACTACCTTTCAGTGGACATGCCTCATTGTGTTCTTGTGAAGACATGGCAGCGGGCTACACAGATATATTTCCTCCCTCGGGGCAAAAAAGGCTGCTGCTCTCATAAGGTATTTCATTTCACTGATATCCTCCACAGCAGACATTACAATGATGGTCCTCTGAGAGCCTATATTATTGATAAAAGTAGTATTATTCTCTTGTCGGTCGATGGATGTGAACTGTCAGTCATTTATATAGTGTGTTGGAGGTCATACTTGGAAATTTTCCGATAAGAAAGCGGAGTTCATCCAAGTATGCTACTTTACAAAAAACTCATCAAGCTCTCAAATTCCAGTGCAACATGGTTGGCCAAAGTGGTTATTTATTACATATTTCAAAATATGTAATTGAAATTTGAATTTTAACCAGAACCTGTGAATACGATGATAATGTTTTTCTGAAGTCCAATTGCTTTTCTTAATTAGCTGATTGAAGGGTCATATTGCATTACATGGTGAGAGGAAGGGTTCAGCAATTCCAAAGTGATGGTCATGCTGTAAGTCGGAGGTGGATACTGAAGAATGATCATATTTTGTAGAGTCAGTTGTGGATATCAAACTTAAAATTCAAAACAAGAGCAGCGAGTTGAGCCGACCTCTGCCAAGGCTGAACTCCTGTGTCCTGCATGTGGCGATCTACCATCAAACATGAGTCAGCACTTTCTCCGTGCCGTATATCCCTTTCAAAAGATTTGGTGAAACTGGGTTGAATACATCATATTAAAAAAAAATCATCATGATGAAGTAAAAACAGATTTTTCAACTCCTTAATTAAATATAATGCAATAAGCAATTGTTGTAATCAGCCACGTCGGCATTCAGTTGTGTTGACTTTTTGGTGGACTTGCGCAGCATTGGTGAGTTTAGTCATTTCGAACATATGGCACCTGCTGTACATGTGACCTGCTTTAGGAGGTCCCTTTATGACTATGACATCAATTTCAATTTGAGAAAGTTTCATACAAAAAAAAATGAATCAGATTCATTAGGCTAATTTCATGGCTAACAATCAGTTAATTTAGTCTGGAATTTTTCTTTCTCAGGTGGGCATCGTCAGTACGGTCAGGCCATTATTGAGCTGTCGTTAGTATTTTGGGCCCGCCCAGTCCGTCCGAGTCGTCGGCATCAGCCACACCGCGTCGAAAATTGACTTGCCAATATTATGTCACACTTAAGGGCCGCACACCTGACAGCAAATGTATATACTTAAAAAAATGTGAACATAAGTGTTGTTTCCTTTTCAGTCCCGCAGACCTCAGTGACATGTGTCCCATATTGTTCTTATTTCAACAATTTCCACACTGCGTGTTTGTGCGTGTGTCCTCATTTTCGTTTTTTTCTTTATTTGGCTGCGTGTCGACTTGTGCGGCGCCTGTGTGCGACGTGGAAATGATGTTCTCGACACCGATTGGCTGTCGCCAACGAGGGATGGACTGGGCCCAGGTGGGTCAGCCGGAAACACTGAAACAGAAACAGTGTTGAACTGACAGATCTTCCATCAATCTAAAGCCCACTTCTTTACAATTGAAAAATATTTTCCGAATGAGCTAATTTAAAGAAGGATCAAGTTAAAGGTTTTAGTTACTGTACCGCAGCCATCTGCGTCCCGCGTCCCGCGTCCTAGATGCATAATTTTCCCGCCAGACGCACAGTTCCAAATAACGTGCGTTTTTGGGACGCAAGGAAATTTCTTAGTCAAAAAAAAAAAAAAAAAAAAAGGACGGTAAATCTTTTTTTCCAGAAACGAACACAGTTTGACAATCGCCGCCATTGTTGTTTTGATCTCGCGTTAAATAATCTCGCGTGACGAGATTACCGTTCTCGCGAGACGAGATTAGCGAGATCGGCCTTCACTTCATGGAAAGCAGACGATTGCCAAGTTGTGTAACGTTAAAACAAGTTTTGCGAACAAGTGTTGCGAAAGTTTATTGCCGAGATATGAACTCAAAGACTGAACCATGGGATGAAATAAGAACCTATTTCTCAGCAAATCTTGTATGCCGGAATTATTTAAATTTTTGCACCATTTATTTATTAGAATAAACCTATTATAAATGTATGTTGTTGTTTGTGTTATTATCAGATGCAATTGAATAAGTGGACCATTTCAGAATTCGAAATTTGGGACTCTCTAAATTCCTTAATGGGACTCATACTTTTCTGATCAGTGAGTCCCTGAGATTCGCAGGGCTCAACTTGTAAAATTATCACTGCTACTGTATAAATGGATTTGGTCTGCGCAAGATGATGTGAGGATGATGTCAAAGTGTGTGGTCAGCTACACACACTAACAACAAGAAAAAGAACTTCCATCATTTCCAGAATGGTCCCGTCTACTTCTTGACCAAATGTGAAATGAGGATGTTATATGGACTCACGTCGACATGGATACACTTTCTAGAATACACTTAGAGCGTGTTTCAAAATGGCCACATTGCCAAAAGGACTTTCCAGAGTCATTCGGGTTCCTGCTACATGAAAATTTTAACCCAAAGCTCCATGCTACATTACAAACTCCCAACCGGCTAGAACATAATTAATGAATTGACCATATCATAAATATTAAGAAGTAAACCACAATGTTTGGATGCAAATGTACTTTTGGAAAATGCACTTTGTTCAATTGTCACTGCCACCATACATTTGCACTGTGTAAACATATTATTTCAAGAAGTTTGGAGGGATGTGAGGGAAGTGAGGAGGAGGGGAGAAATGCGAGGAAAAGGTCAAAAAGTTGGTGTCCAAGAGTCTTGGTGTCGAGTCGGATCCGTTCATGCTCAGGCCTTGTTCACGCTGCACCAGGCGGCTGCGGAGAAACAGGACGAAGAGGTTTGGACAGACAGAAAGCGGAGAGAACTTCACAGTGCAGGAAAGAAGTGATGGATTAAAAAAACAAGTGTTTGAAACGTTGCCTCACAGAGGCAATGAATCCATTTCAACAAGGTGGCTTCCTTCCAAGATTCAAGTACCGGTACACGAAGTACAAAGCAAAAATTGTCACTCAACAGTACACACAAACAAAATACACAAACAAAATTTTATTTTATTTTTTCCAAGATGGCGCCCGGGCTGCCGGGATAGGCAGCCATTGGCAAGTGTTTTTTGTCTTGTTTTGTCACATGGTGTTGTTGTTACGTCGTGTGGACCTGATGTGGACTGTTTTCAGCATTTTTGGCCATAACATTCGTCAAAGAAGAAGAATCTGTGCTTGGTGGTTGTGCCTTCTAGGCAGCACACGCGTACCAGCACTGATTTCTTGATTGGGAGGAATGTCGGCGCCATTTGACTGTCGTTACTGGACATCCCCGGGGGGCTTGTGTCTTGCGCCTGAAGTAGGCAGCATTTTCACAGCCCTGCTTTGTTCAGCGAAAAGGTCGGTGCTGATGGACAGTCTGCGGCTGGATGGATGCATGGATTGAGGAGCCGACGATGAGAAGAAAGGAGCGTCAGCGCAGAGCGCCGATGTGTATGTGGAACTGGGAGTCGCGGCTTGGAATTGAAGCGGACTTACATGGGACAGGAGAAGAGAGCCAATCTCTCTTTTTCGCTAATGGATGCTACAGGTTCTTGTTGCTTTCAAGCTTAGCTTGTAGCAGACGTGTGCACATTGCAGCATGACGTCTTTGATCCACTGGTGAAAAGGACACTTTGATTCGCTCCTCTTTTATCTATAACTGCTTCAGACAACAAAGTGTATGCAGGAAAGTGGTTAAGAGTGCACGATTGTCTGTGTCTCATGTGTTGTTTTGTATTATTTTGTCATTTTTTTGTTAACTTTTCTTTTGATGGCGGCGCGGACACCCGCAGTGGCTCCTCTTGTTTTATGTTGAGAGGGAAGAAATTTCATCTGTGCTGTATGTTACACATACAGTACATTTGACAATAAAGTTTATCCAATCCAATCCAATTCAATCCAATACTGTAGTCGTAGTACTAGACAAATAATAATGCAAATCTATTAGCTGTTTTGTTTGATTTGTGTTGGTATTGACATCATTTTTCTGTATTTGTGCATTTATAATCGTGATAAATTTGTTGGTATTGGACCAATGAGATTGTCACTGTATCACACAAGTCATGCTGACATGTAGTCATTTAATTTTATTAGTTTGAAAAAGCTTATTGAAATGTATCAAGTGTGCCTTATCAACCAATTTTACTTTAATGGCATCCTTCATTCTGTACTCTGAGAACTAAATACCATATTTCCTTCAAGAGTAATGATAGGTTGGTCAACGGGGAATTGTTACCTCAGTGTTCTGATGTAAATGGAATCTGTCACTGACTCACATTAGCGGTTTCCATTTGCATTTTCTTTTATTGATGGTTCCTGGCAATAATGCAGTGCAGTTAGATGTAGAATTAGCAAAGCGCCCTGCTTAAATAGCCTGGGTGAAAAAGACAATCATGAGCAACTGAGTGGTGTACGATTGCAAGAACATGAGAATTAATGTATATTACTTTTATGTGCACCATCTTTTCCGCATTATAAGGCGTTTCAGAGTATATCGTGCAGCTTCAATGAATGGCCTATTGTAATTAAAACTGTTTTCAAATTTTGGGTGAATTGCATTATAAGGCACAAATAATAGAAGTCAAAGGAGTGGCTGTGGTTGTCATTCATCCACAAGTTGGGGCTACGCTAAAGGGAATACAATACAATTCAACACAGCTTTATTTATATCGAGCTTTCACAACCGCTGCAGCTGTAACAAAGCGCTTTACAGCAGGGGTCCCCAACTGCCGGTCCGCGGACCGGTACCGGTCCGCAGGGCATTTGGTACCGGGCCGCACAGAAAGAACTTGCCTTATTTCCGTTTTATTTGTTTCGGAATACGAAATGTGTTTTATTTTGAAAAATTACCGGATTCTCTGTTACATCCGTCTGTGTCACGCTTGACTCACGTCAAGCCACACTTCTCGGTCACGTGACCGATGACGCTCATAAACAAAACGCTGAAGCCCGCAAAATGAGTAAAAAAGCTGCTTGGAGATCGCAAATGACGGCGGCCTTAAAAGTACGTTCGAAACAACTGGATCAAAGTTATGGCTGAATACTCTGAGATCGCCACAATAGCACTGTTGCTATTTCCGACATCCTACCTGTGTGAGGTGGGGAGTTTATGCAGCTACTTGTGTTTATTATTATATTTCGAAAACACCACAGTTTTCATGCAGCTCATACCATATTATTTTGTCGTATTAATCCGCCACACCTTAAATGCCGGTCCCTGAAAATATTGTCTGACTTAAACCGGTCCGTGGGGCAAAAAAGGTTGGGGATCCCTGCTTTACAGAACATTTAAAATATTACGTCCAAGAAATCCTAATATTGATCCACATATAAGGTGCATCGGATGATAAGGCGCACTGTCGGCTTTTGAGAAACTGATTGCTTTTAGTTGCGCCTTATAGTGCAGAAAATACAGTGTATGTATGTATGTACAGTATGTTTTTTATATATATATATATATATATATACAGTCAAACCTCGGTTTTCATACATAATCCGTTCCAGAAGGCTGTTTGAAAACCGAAATTGTTCGAAAAACGAAACCACGCTCTTTTGAAAATAAAAATGTTTATTGAACACGTCTGCTCACAATGGAAAGCAACACGAGGAAG